GCACAGTAGGTATGGTACGATAATAAATTGTAGCTCGGCGCAGTGATACGTCCAACATTTGTCAGTGATGCTCGCCAATGACTTGAACAAATGTAATAATTTGGATGCTTTGTTTTTTCCTCAGATGCTATGTGACTTTGTGCAGCGATACAGTGATGCATCTGACTTTGTACAGCGATACAGTGATGCATGTGACTTTGTGCAGTGATGCAGTGACGCATCTGACTTTGTGCAGCGATGCAGTGATGCATGTGACTTTCTGACTTTGTGACCACATGGCACATCAATACGACCACATGGCAATAGTGTTGATAAACAATTATGTGATGGACTGAAGGAGTAAAGTGTAATTTACTGAATATAAAAAGAAGCAAAAAAATGCAAAGATGAGAAAATGGGATGACTGTGAAGTTCATTAAGTGAAAATAAGATAAAATATAGGTTGTTTACGAATAATATTACTTTAAAAAAAAGAAAATTTAAGCATTTAATTTCATTTATAATTTGTTAAAAACACCAATTTGTACTGAAATCGTCAATTCCAAGTGACTACTTATGTATTAAAAAAGTAAGCATGAAAAAATAGTTTCATGTGTCGATGTGACAACTCACTGCTCCAATATGAAGGGATTACATTGTCATCCTCTGGTCTACAATTATGATTTTATCTGACAACCACGTCCGTGACTACATCACAGGTACACAAAGTCACGGGTACTCAGGATTGCATGAAATGAAAAGCTAAAAAATAATATCACGGGTATCACTTATTCCATAGTGCCCCAGTATGCATTATTGTCACTAGATCATCTGTAGTTAACCCTCAGTATGATGTCCATAAATAGCGACACCCCCAGTATAATGTTTGTTCAAGTCATAACAATAGTAATATATCCACAATTACTATTATTATTTGTTTGTTTATTTTATGAGCAATGTCTTCAAGAGGTGCAGGAAGTTCATGCCAGCAAAGAAATCCGAAAGTGTGGCTGCTACCTCCATTTACTTATGACTACAAGAGCGAAAAGTACTCGAGTCCGAAGGATTATTATGCTGGTATCCGAGCAGGCTGGCACCTACTAGTCTGGCTTTGCCGTTGTTGGCCATGGAAATGGTTGAAGAAGCTCAAAGAACAAGGGTTGAGTATCAAAGACTTCCCACAGACGGCGCCAGTTGTACGGGACAGGATGTTGATGCGGAGATGTCGACATTTCATGCTTCAGCTAGCCACTGAAATGGCAGAAGCAAGCAACAGAGATTTGACAATGGTTGAGCGAAATAATGTCTTCAACAATGAAAAATATCTCTCTGACTACTACATGTCAGATGACGAATAAGAAATCAAACACCGTTATCTTTCATATGTTCGTTCGTGGAGTGTAAGACAATGTTGTTGTTCATCTAACGTACGGATGTATTTCAAGTATTTGTTTTATGAACTTGAAGTTTATGAAATAACTACATTTATAACTGCACATTTATTAGTTCATGACTTTCTTTATTGAATTGCAATGAGTTAATGAATGTTCTGGATTAATGAATGGATTAATGTATGTTGAATGATGTGAATACTTAAAACACATAAAACATAACAGGTAGCTTGGTAAAAAGCTTCCCTTAACTGGGGCTCGTGAAATAGGGATCCTGTACGTAAAGAATTTCAATCTCCATCGGGAAAGAAGAAAGAGTCGCCTTCCAATTCCTGGAAATCCAGTCAAAATGATAACTGTGGTAAGGAATGGGGGTTGACAGATAACTAAACTTTGGGGGCTGGACAAACAAGCTCAAAGCCAAGTGGTTGGTCCAGTTGGGGAACTAAATAAAGTTCATACAAACAAACAACCGCCTTGAACAATGCATAAAACAGAACAGGTAGCTCGGTGAAAAGCTTCCCTTAACTGGGGCTCGTGAAATAGGGATCCTGTACGTAAAGAATTTCAATCTCCATCGGGAAAGAAGAAAGAGTCGCCTTCCAATTCCTGGAAGTCCAGTCAAAATAATGACTGTGGTAAGGAATGGGGGGTTGACAGGTAACTAAACTTTGGGGGCTGGACAAACAAGCTCAAAGCCAAGTGGTTGGTCCAATTGGGGAACTAAATTTAAAACCCAATTGGTTTTACTTGATTTGCTTGTCAAAATCACTATTTATAATTAATTATACACAAACAGATTTACCTCTACACCAATTTGATATATATGGGATTCTCAATTCAGAAAGTCACATAGCAACAGTGAATTCACTGATTTACCTTACAGTGAGCATGCCCTTATTTTGTCGGTATATGCAGATGGATTGTCAAGTCATGTGACTTGGTGCATAGGCTTTGGTTTTCTCAATTTTTTGCTCGATTTTTCCATTACAGTGACAACTCATTTGTTATTAATATATGTGGGATTCTCAATGCAGAAAGTCACATGGCAACAGTGAATTCACTGATTTACCTTACAGTGAGCATGCCCTTATTTTGTCCGTATATGCAAATGGATTGTCAAGTCATGTGACTTGGTGCACATGCTTTGGTTTTCTCAATTTTTTGCTCGATTTCTTTATTACAGTGACAACTCATCTCTTATTGATATATGTGGGATTCTTAATTCAGAAAGTCACATGGCAACAGTGAATTCACTGATTTACCTTACAGTGAGCATGCCCTTACTTTGTCGGTATATGCAGATGGATTGTCAAGTCACGTGACTTGGTACACAGTATTTGCTTTACTCTGTTTTTTCATTCTAGTGACAACTTATACCTTGTTCGTATATGTGGGATTGTCATGCAGAGGCATCTTTCTAAAGCCGTTCATAACCAACTATAGAAACGACTAAAGGTGAAGACACAACCTTACAACTCATTTCGCCCTACGAAATTATCATTCATTTGTTTTAGAAAATTAGCATGGCTACATGGTTCATGGGAGGGAGTGGGAATCGCAGAGATGGTAGGAACTTGCAAAGGGGTGACAGTTCACGACGAGGAGGGGGAAGACGAAGTGGCAATGCTGAAGATGAAACACCATTTCCTTTGTTAGATGCCTCTTGTGCTTATCATGACAGGTTTGGGAAGCGACATTTTGTCATACCCAAGTACTATCGAGATCCATGTGGTTTGGTGGAGGATCCATCAGATAATCAAACAGGATATGGTTTAGCAAACGCTAGACTTTTGAAGTGGCCCGCACTATTTATAGAGCGAGTGCAAATGGAAAGATTATGTCGGGAAAATCGACTGAAGGTGCCAAAAGCACGTTATGTTGAGATCCAAAAGGAAGATCCTGATAATGTTGATCGACTATGTGAAAGACTACAACGTGAGATTTCTCAAATGCGCCGTAGGTTAGCCCGCGATATGCAGCTATACATAGTTAAGAAGGATGCCCAAAAGAACAAAACATAACCAAATGATGTGGCTATCAAGGGTATCATGGAGGATCCTGAGCTTGTCTCTGACGCTGAGCTTTCGGATTATTCAGACTCTGAGCTACCTACCGATTTAAGCACGAATTAGGTGTTAATGTCTACACTTCGGCAATATTAGGTCATGCATTAATATGTAATGTCTGTGTTAGAGTAAGTCAGTGGAGTTTTGCATTTGTTTTCTCACATTCTTGGCATCGAAATGGAGGATTTCTTTCTCTCTTATTTTGAGGTTTTAACCATTTTAGTTTGACTCAAATTTTATGTTGATCCTTATTATTTTAATTTGAACAATTTGGTTCTACGTGTAAGTTTAGTTTCAATTTGGTTATTTCAATTATTGTTGTTCCAGACTTATGTCTGTACTACCTATGTATTTTTGTGGGAGACTTATGTGTTTTTTCCTCAAGGTTTTATGAATTACATTATCAGCTTCTAACCCAAAACAAAGACAACAGGAAAAAAAAATTTATTTAAATGAAAACGGCTTTAGTAAAGCCAAAACAAATTTCTGAATAACACATTCTAACCCAAAACAAAGACAAGAGAAAAAAATAAAAAATAAAAAACTTCACCTGAAAATGGCTTTAGTAAAGCAAAAAGAAATTTATGAATTACCTTATCACCTTCTAACCCAAAACAATGACAAAAGAAAATATATATATATATATATATATAAATGAAAACGGCTTTATTAAAGCCCAAACAAATTACTGAATAACACCTTCTAGCCCAAAACAAAGAAAAAATAAAATAAAATAAAAAATTTACATCAAAACGGCTTTACTAAAGCTTAAAAAATTTATGAATTACATTATTACTTTCTAACCCAAAACAAACACAAGAAAAAACAAAATAAATTTACTTTAGTCAAACCAAAAAAAAATGCTGAATTACACATTCTAACCCAAAATAAAGACAAAAGAAAAGAAAAAAAATTAACATGAGAACGGTTTTAGTAAAACAATTATAACCCAAAAACTTATTCTGAAATACATTATCACCAAAACAATGACAACAGAAACAAAAAAACAAAAAAAACCAAAAAAAAAAATTTACGCTAAAAGCGTGGTTCATAACCACGATTTCAGAAGAAAAAAAATTTGGCCAAAAAGCGTGGTTCTAAAGAGCGAGTTCCGAAGAAAAATGTTAAAATCGTGGTTAGTAAAAGCAAGTCCCGAACAAAAATGTTTTTTGATAAAATCGTGGTTATAAACAGCGAGTTCAGAAAAAAAAAATTTTTGATAAAATCGTGGTTAGAAATAGCGAGTTTAGAAAAAAAAAAATTGGTTAAAATCGTAGATTGGAACTGCGAGTTCAAAAGGAAAAAAAATTAATTAAAAGCGCGTTTTGTAACCACGATTTTAAGATTTTCCCACTTCCACGCGAGAGAGGTGTATATGTGTTGAAATCGTGGTTCACAACTGCAATTTAGTCTATTTTGGGAATTCTTTCAAAACTAGGTTTAGTTTGGGAATTGACTTACTATTTTGGCTTATTTAGGGAAATGCCCCAAGAAACTGGTAGATGTAAATCGAGAGAAATATGAAGCATGTGAATGCCTTCTTCAACTCAAAAAGAAAAGTGATAATATGCTATTGTAATTAATATGAATGAAGCATATGTATGCAATTGTAACTGTATCTTCAATGATCAACACGAAATCATCTAATTCATCATTTGTCAAAATCATTACACGTCAAACATGGCAAAGGCACTTGAAACTTGAAAGACCAAACAGTTGGAGATTGAACAACTTAAAATGTTGTCACACACAAATTCAAACATGGCTTAAAACAAGTACCAAACAAGTGCAAACTCTACATTTTTTTGGCTTCTATAAGTAAGTGAATAGCGAATTATGTAGTACAAGTAATCGTAGGTCAAGTATAATGCATCTGTGTAAACAAGGGTCATAAGAATACAGGCAAACCACATCATCCCCAAATATGAATTTATGAATGCATCCTCAATAATAAAAGTTTGAAAACATGTCGTGATTGAGAAGCCAGTGGCATAGTACAAGGACGTGGTTGCAATAAGAAATTTCAAGGGCAACAAAGTGTGAAACCATGACAATTGTATTAAAAGTTGAGATCCCAAACCCAAAAAAGAAGCAAACAGACTTCCTCCAATGTGACATGAACAACAACAAATCTTGTTGTCCATTTTTTGCTTTTGTAAAAAAAAAATTGATAGGCCATATTATTGATCGAAACCATCAGGGATAGTAAAAAATGCATCTTAATTGACGGAGCCAATTATTGTGAAAACATTCAATGGCAACAAAGTGTGAAACCATGACATTTGTATTAAAAGTTGAGATCCCAAACCCAATAAAGAAGCACACAGACTTTCCTCCAATGTGACATGAACAACTACAAATCACGTTGTCCATTTTTTGCTTTTGTAAAAAAATTGGTAGGCCATATTATTGATCGAAACCACCAGAGATAGTAAAAAGTGCGTCGTAATTGACGGTGCCAACTATAGTGAAAACATTCAATGGCAACAAAGTGTGAAACCATGACATTTGTATTAAAAGTTGAGATCCCAAACCCAATAAAGAAACAACCAGACTTCCTCCAACGTAAGACATGAACAACTACAAATCTCGTCCATTTATTGCTTTTGTGAAAAAAATTGGTAGGTCATATGATTGATCGAAACCACCAGGGATAGTAAAAAGTGCAGTGTAATTGACGGTGCCAATTATAGTGAAAACAAGCATCAAGCAACTATTAATATCTTTTATTGCTTTCTCAGCTTCCTTCACCGCATCCCCGCGCTCTTCCTCAAATACTTCTTTTGTTGTCTTACCATCAATGTTTCGATGATATATCAAATGTGGATGAGAGTCATTATGTATACACTCTGAAAATTCAAAGAAATCAAGCAAGAAGACAATATTAAAAAGGAATTGAAGAGTTTCTAACCTTAATGCTTTAGATTGTAACTTATGTCAAGGTTAATTATAGCAAAATGTTCTCAACTAACAAATATTATTTTGATCTCTTATCTGTGAAACTATATATATTTTTATCTCCTCAATTATGACAAATCATACAAATGTCTCCCCTTTTGGAGGGCGTAAAAGTGAGATGCACTTTTATATTTGAGAGGATCAAAATATACAAGTTCATAGATGAGAAGTAAAGTGATATTCACTAATAATTGAGACTCATAGTGTAATTAACTCTTTATGTTACCCTATGTTACATAGACTCGGGTACAGATGTCGGGTGCGGGTATGTGATTAGAGGTCGGACTCATCAAATCATAAATTTAAGGGTACGCGGACTCGGCAAAAAAATGTCATATTTTTATATTTGTAATCTAATATGTGAGATAAAATGGCACTATATGTAATTATACAACAATATGTACATATAATAATAGTATTATATACAACTATATAAGAAGTATCCGTTGAAAAGTACCCGACACATGTCCCATACTCTTGTCCAAGTGTCGGGTGTCCAATACGAATATTTGATTTATTTTGAAGAGTCCGTGTAACATAGATATGGAAGTTATAATTGTAAACCACGATTAAATCTATGGAAGCTTTGGTTTATACATTCCTCTTAGTCTCTACTCTAGCGATAATTTTTTTCGCTATCTTTTTTTGAGAACCGCCTAAAGTTCCAACTAAAAAGATGAAATGATTCTTCATTATCTTAATCGAAGTAACGAGCCTCCCAATATTAGGGGGCTCGTTACTTCAATTAGTCCCCATGTTCCTCGAATGGATCTCTTAGTTGTTGAGAAGGTTGCCTGAAAGCGGTATATAAAGCGTAACCAGTAAAACTTACAAGTAAACCAGATATAAAGATGGCGACTAGGGTTGTTGTTTCCATTATTATATAATTTCAAGACCACAATGGATCTATGATAAGATTGTTTATTTACAATGGAATAGTATACAAAGTCAACAGATCTCCACACCACCACCACTACTATTATCATTATTATTATCCAATGCATATCTACTACTGGATCAGGATCTCATGTCATTAATCTCTCTGCAATAATCTTGTTGTGCTGATCTAATGATCTATGTTTAAAATTGAAGTAAATTGCATCATTTTAGGGTGTGGTTTAAAAAAATGTGATACAATGTCATTTTACTTTAATTTAAACTCAAGCTGTTATAGTGTATTTTGCTATAATTGAAAGCACAAAATCATTGTAGAAAAATTACTGTAGAGGATCCTTAGCTCTCTACCACTAGTATTGCAAGTTAATATATAAAGCTCAGGGAGAGTACCTTAAACCAAAACACATTCGATGTCATTCGGTTTACGGGGTTCCGAAAAGATTTTGAGGAAAATGATCTTTTTCGTACTAGTAGGCTGCAAGATGCAAAATAGTGTTCCCATGATTATCAACATCAGTCATCATTCTATCTGTGTGATTAAGAGTCTTCTTTAAGTGGTCATAGAGAATTCGATCTTTCAGCTGTGCCGCTATGTGTGTAGTATATTTCTTCCATTCTCATCAAATGAGGCAGCATTAGGGAATTTTTCAAGGATTTCCTCTACCATCTCATTGATGTCGTGCTTTGTCTCTAGGATAAGACTCTATTCTTCTTCTGCTTCTGTGATGAAGTGGCGTCTTAAAGCTTCTGTGATGAAGTGGCATCTTAAAGCAGTGGACTACATAAAAATGTAAATTTTCACAATTTATGTAATCAATTCAATCATTTTATTTTTCTATTAGCCTTTTTGCTAGCTCTCTTGCAAACACATGCTTTTTCTTTGCAACATCAATTGGTTTAATCCAAGCACAAGCTTCATGAGACAAAAAGAAGACAACAAAGAAGCATTAAATAATAATAACTACTTGATATATATTTAGTACAATGATAAGCTAGGCAAACCATCAATTTTCTCGTGAATTTTTCTTTAATTTCTAGTGAGGACGGATGACAAACAACAGAAAGTAAAGTCGGCAATGGTTCATATTAGGATCACATCCATTTTTATTATGTAGTATGATATCATGCGTTTTGTTCAATTATCCACAACACTTTCACTTTTTATTTAACATGTAGCAAGAATATGTGAATTGTTGTCACAGGAAGCACCTGAAATTTTAGATTTTACTGTATTCCAAAACTATGAATAGCGCATAATTGAAGAGTAAGAGCAACAAACCTCTGACGATCCTTCTGTACCCTGTAACAAAATACCATTGCAGAATAATTAATAAGATGAAAGGAAAAGTTGGGCCATTTTTTTTTTATCAATAAAGTAAAGACATTGCCATTCAGCACAATTACCTGCATACTTATCTTGCCAGGATCAAACACACCACACTAGTCAAAATTCCTTCTTTTTTAAAAAAAAAAAAAAAATTGGGTAGGGTAAACTATATTTAGTGAAAATATTACACCTGCCCTTGTCTTATACAAATGTCTGTACAAAGAAAAAAATAAATGAAAATAATATAAAACCTGACATGTTTCTGGCTACTATCATGTTTCTTTTCTCTATAAAATTTATTGCTTATCTAAAAATTAATAATACCTGGCATTAATTTGAATAACAAAGTCCCTTTTGATTTAAACAGATCATTTAGACTATCACGCAGGTCCTCTACGTCACCAGCAGTTTTTGAAACAATAACCATGGATGGAATACCTGTTCAACAACAAAAACAAATAGGAAAATATTTGGGACCCCCACAAAAGAGGACCCCACGACCCCACTAATGTATTGACTATTGATGTATTTGAATTATGATATCATGCGTTTTGTTCAATTATCCACAACACTTTCACTTTTTATTTAACATGTAGCAAGAATCTGTGAATTGTTGTCACAGGAAGCACCTAAAATTTTAGATTTTACTGTATTCCAAAACTATGAATAGCGCATAATTGAAGAGTAAGAGCAACGAACCTCTGACAATCCTTATGTACCCTGTAACAAAATACCATTGCAGAATAATTAATAAGATGAAAGGAAAAGTTGGGCCATTTTTTTTTATCAATAAAGACATTGCCATTCAGCACAATTACCTGCATACTTATCTTGCCAGGATCAAACACACCACACTAGTCAAAATTCCTTCTTTTTTTAAAAAAAAAAATAATTTGGGTAGGGTAAACTATATTTAGTGAAAATATTACACCTGCCCTTGTCTTATACAAATGTCTGTACATAGAAAAAAATAAATGAAAATAATATAAAACCTGACATGTTTCTGGCTACTATCATGTTTCTTTTCCCTATAAAATTTATTGCTTATCTAAAAAATAATAATACCTGGCATTAATTTGAATAACAAAGTCCCTTTTGATTTAAAGAGATCATTTAGACTATCACGCAGGTCCTCTACTTCACCAGCAGTTTTTGAAACAATAACCATGGTTGGAATACCTGTTCAACAACAAAAACAAATAGGAAAATATTTGGGACCCCCACAAAAGAGGACTCCACGACCCCCACTGATGTATTAACTATTGATGTATTTGAATTGTTTTTTTTTTGGGTTGTGTACATGAATGGTTTAAATTATTTTAGAGATTGTGAGGGTTGTGTTTTGTGAGGATGTCTATCATTATTGAAACAAATAAAGCCATCCCCAGATGTCCTTTCAATTCAAAATTTTAATTAAATTGTTGAATCAATTTGAAATGATGAACCTATTACTAAAGTAATCATCTCCATAATCATAGGCCTTGCTTGTCATAACCTAAAAAAGTCAAAAAGCTAAAAAGTCACTATCCTATTTAAGTCACATCACCTCTTTACCACATCACTTCAAACCTAATCCATACCCAACCCATATTTCATAAAAAGTCAAAAAATACACTTATTTAGATTATCTCAAACCACCCAATAGTGTGGAGACTACAGAACATCACATTTAGAAGCAGATCATCAAACATTTTTTTCATCATTTGCACAAATAAATAAACAAATAAGAATACGTGTATATTGTATACATAAAAGAAGAAAGAAGATATTAAATCAAAAAGTGGGGAATTGGTGGAATTAATTGAAATAAGGGACGCTTTGTGGGTGAAGTCGTTTCATTCTCTAACTGAGTTTGCAGTAGATGATTTCATTCTCTTGTTGGTATTGAATTTTCTGTTACTCGCTCCATTTTTTTATTTTTTATTTTTGCAGGGGTAGTTTCATTCTCTAACTGAATTTTCAATACATGATTTTTAAAATGAAAAAAAAAAAAAAAAAATTCATGAGTAAATTTCACTAAAAGTCTATGTAGTGTAACCCAAGTTTCAATTTAATCCCTATTATTTCAATGTCCTCCAATTTTTTCTACGCTGTATCAATTAAGGACAATTAATAACGGCCAGTCAAATTCTGGACAGAAAATGGTCCCATGCATGTAGGGCAATGGTAGAGGGCCACAATTTTTGTGGCTCAAATGGCTCAAAACTGCAAAAACGACGTCGTTTTAAGCACAAAACATGCCAAAACGACTCGTTTTGAGCCATTTAAGCCACAGAAATTGTGGCTCTCAAACATTATTCCATGCATGTAATTGACCAATTTGCAAGGGCATAACAGTCATTTTATCACCTTAATCTCTTTAACAAATAAAAAATGTTCATCTTGTCTAACCGTGTACTTCACCACACCAAATCATTCCTTCCACTCTTCCTCCCCCCACAACCACAACCACCTCTTCCTCATCCATGGTCGACTAGCCTCTCCTCCTTGTCCAGGAACCACCCACCTCATGGTCGACCAACCGACCCCATTTGACAGGATTTAAAGTTTGGCTCGGTTCGGTTTGGCTTATAATCAACCTTAGGAAGACACCCAACTCCATATTCAAGACATGTGAAACTACTAGAGATAAGCAACTTAGTTGAATACTAAAGGGTGTTTGTTGTTCTACCTCATCAATAAAGATTTTAATTTTATCATGGGAATGGAACATTAGCTCTTCACACCCAAATTTCCAATGAAATTACAGCAATAGCCAAGCTTGTCATCATCACTCACTAAGAATGGAAAACAAGATTAAGCAGGAGATTAATAATTTCATTTTTTCTTTCTCCTTTTAAGATATTTCTTATCAATTAAAGGGAGATTGAGAAAAATTATACCTAAGCTTGGGGGTGTTGGCTTCGGTGCTGGTGACCGGACCACATGTAAACCCAAAACCCTAGCCCAATCTTGCAAGCATTATTAGCTCTGGAGTTGAAGAGAGAGAGAGAGAGAGAGAGAGAGAGAGAGAGAGAGAGAGAGAGAGAGTTGAAGTGAGATTGAGATTGAGATTGTTGGCGGTGAGTGGTGAGGAAGATATGGAGCGTGGTTGTTATCGGTCGTGTGGAAGATGAAAGTGAATGATGAAGAGATGTAAGAAGGTCTTACACTCCGTTTGGATAGACTGATTTGGCTACGAAAAAAAGAAAAGATATGTGGAGAAAATTTTGGTTTATGAATTTGGAGAAATTTTGAGAAGGGATAAGAGAAATGCATGCCTAGCAATTGGTTCTTCGTATTTAGATGGTAGAAAACTATTGAAATAGGTATTATGATATGTAGTAGGTCTAGTTTGGCATAATCTAAAAAAATTAAAAAGTTAAAAAGTCACTATCCTATTTAAGTCATATTATTTTATCTAAATCATATTATTTTTCTATTACATCACTTCAAACTCAACTTATATTTTACATTTTTTTGTAAAAAGTCAAAAAGTACACTTATTTAGATCATCCCAAACAAATCTTTAGTTAGGATATATTACTTAAAAAAGATTTGTGATCATCACCGCTAAAGTAAAGTTGATGCACGACCTATCTTGTTAAGTATGACTCGTCTAACAATTTTATTACATCCGTATAAAAATTATTTATATAATATGTATTTATGACTAGTGTATACATAATTTAACAAAATAATATTTACATAAAAATCTAACTTATACAACACTACTCAAATTAGTTAAAATTCTATAAAATTAAAAGATTGTTTGGCATGTTCTAAATAAATATATTTTTTGACTTTTTATAAAAAGATGTATAAAAAAGTAGAGATGAGATATTGATTGATATGACCTAAAAAAATAAAAAAATAAAAAAATATAGACTTATTTAGTCTTCCTAAACAAGGCCTAAATATAAACTATAACCAGCACTTGATTAGAATTTTATCTTAACTCTAATATTAGAAAACAGCAATGATAGAGACCCCTTTGTGGAGAACCCCACAACCCCCTTTGTGATGAGTGGACCCCACACATCATAAATGGTGTAGATCAGTAAGGGAATTGTGAGAGTCCTCCACAAAGGGGGTCTGACTCATTTTTCTATTAGAAAATTAGTTTCATGTAATTTTGAAATTATCAATCTACAAAAGGAATATTTTACACTCTCTCACTAATTTCTCTTACCAACTATCTTGCTGTCCGCTTCCTCTTCGTGGGTCCATGCCTCAACCAGGCTCCTCAATTTATGAACAGTAATACTTAAAGACCATTAATAATGATGTTCTAAAAACACCACTAGTGATGTGGCAGTAGACGAGACTCACTGCTTGTGTCTTGTTTTTATTTTTATTTTTTATTTAAAGTACTTGCCAACTCATTAGTGATATTTTAAAATACCAATTTTAGTGAGATGTATCGTTACCAATTTATGAACCTGCAAAACAAAAGCAAATAATAAAATAAACAATAAGAAAAATGTTTGAGAGCACTAATTAGTGCTCCCACTAATTAGGTGGCAGTAGGTCCCGCCATGAATGATGTGATATTTTGGTCTTGGAGTTATAATTTTTTTTTATTTTTTTTATTTTTTTAATACATTAATGTTATTCATGGTGATATTTTTAATGGGATGAATCATCCTTGAAACAATAATTAGATGAAAGTTGGTCAACTTTCTTTCTCCATAATGATGTTGGATGGAAATGATGATAACGATACGATGAATCACCGACAGATTATTATTATTATTATTATTTATTTTATTTTATAATATAATACTAAAATATATTATTTATAAAAATTTATGTAAAAATATTTAAAATATACATAAATATATAAAATTACAAAAAATTATAAAATACTACAAATAAATAGACTAATAAAATGTATATTATTAGCAAGTTGATTTCTTTTGTCAACTTACAAAAAAGTTAAAAATTCAAAGAATTATTTAAACACTCTGACCGAAGGCGGCTGTGCTTGACTTTAGTGAGGATAAATTACACAAGCGGAGGCAAGCTTAAGGACTGTGTTGTTCGGCCCATGGGGGCTATCACAGGTCCCGTTTTGATAATCTGAACCGTTCAATATGTAGAACTCGTTGAGTACTATACGCCTACAAAAAATCACGTTGTCGGATATCGTTAACTATATGATCAAATCAATTTTGTATAAAAAAATGGATGGTGTTATAGTTAACGGTTGAAAAAAAACTAATCCAATTAAATAGCTATCGATATCCGATTAACGTGATTTTTTACAAACATATAGTATTCGACGAGTTATATACATTGAACGGTTCCGATTAGTAAAACGGGACCCGTGATGGACCCTCATAGGCCGAACAATACCGTCCAATTTATATCCGAAAAAGGAGAGAACCAACTCCCCCCTACATTCTACCACGCTGCCCCTTACGTTGCCGGCCATACGGCCTATTCTATCACTAACTTCTCCTGTACATTTATTTATACAATTTTTTAATACACATTTTTTCATAAAAAATTAAAAAGTTAACACAAACATCCATATTTTTTTCTTCAACTTTTTAATCTAAAAAAACAAAAAATACACTTATTTAAAATACCCCAAACAACCCCTTAAGTCTGCTAATTTTTTGATTGAAAGCTTCAGAAGTGTTGTTATGTCAAATAATTATTTGCTTGTGAGTGAAAAATTGGTCTTATCACAATCATCTTTTTCTTTGGTAAAAGCCTTATATTCTATTTCTCTTTAGTAAAATGCACATAAATGGTCATTTTTGTACATCAACATTATTTCAATTATACAGTTCTCAAAATGGTGAGTCTCTCTGATGCATACAAAGCAGCATCAGAGAAGAAACCAAATTCCCTCGAAATCCTCTGCAACTTCTGGAGAGAAAATGAAGGCACGACACCGATCGTAGACCAACGTGGCAACACGATCCTCCATTTCCTTGCCATCCACGGCAACATAGCTGCCATTAAAATGCTTGACAAGCATGGTTTACTTACCACTGAACAGCTTAAGAAATGTAATGCCAATGGCGAAATTGCTTTGCATGAAGCTGCGCGGTTTGGTCACAAGGATGTGGCAGAAACAATGCTGGAGAAGGAAGGAGATTTAATCAATGCGCGCAATGAGTTGGGAGAGACGCCCATTTATGTTGCTGCTGCATTTGGGAATAGGGATGTTTTTGATTTTTTTTCAAAAATATGTGATGATGAGTGGTTGATGGGATTGAGGACAAGAGATGGTTGCACTGTTCTTCATGCTGCTGTGAAAGGAGAATATTATCGTATGTTAATTTCTATATCCATTTTTTCATTCTTTAACTTCAATTCGAAGTCACAATGTTAGTCCACAATCTTTATATATATTTGGGATCGTGATACCCGAATCATTTTAGGGCGCTCACGCCAAAAATCTAATTTTAAATTTTGTTTGATATGAGCTCCAGGCGCTGAACTAGTTTTTTCATAAGAACAAGTTTAAGTTCAATGACCAAAATAGCCTATCTTTCTGTCTTCATTTGTTTATTTATTTGTTTTAGGGGTATAAGGATAACAATGCTGGTTGTTTGAGTAGTGCTTGGAATGTGTTCGATGAAATGTACAAGTGAAGAATTTGATCATGTAGGTGTTTGGTTAAAAGACAATATGATGAGAGTTTTTAGAGTAAAACCAAATGCTTTTAGGGCTATGTAATGTGAATGATTTGAGTTTGGTTGTTAAGCTTGAAGATGAGATGTTGAAACCTATAATTAGTGCACTTTTCAAGGTCAGTTGCAAGGAAGATGTTATTGAATCTTTAGAGGAAATGCTAGAAAAAGGGCATAATCCTGATAGTATAGTTACTTTATTATGCAATGATATGTGGGTTTTGCCAGGATAAAGATTTTGATACGACATATGCTGTTTAAAGTGAGATGACAGAGGAGGTGTAAATTAGATGTTATTAGACTTAGTTATAATGTACTTACTGGAGTTTTTTGCAGGGAGAGAAAATTGATGGAAACAAATGAATAATTTGGAGATAAGCCGAGACAGAATTGTGCTTCTGATGTGATGAAATTGTTGGACATTATTTGATGGGCTATGTTGCATTTATTTTAGATGAGATGGTTTTCAAAGGTTATGCCATTATTCTGCAAGTATAATAAAATTTGTTGATGAGTTGTGTTGAGGTGGTAATCTGAAGTTACGTACAGTTCTAAATAGTTTTGCAGAAGGAAATTTAATTGATGTAGTAGAGTGTTGGTTCCCATGGCATACAATACAAGAACAATAAGCTTTTAAATGCCTTTTAGCTTGTAGAAACCTTGCCAACGCCATAAGTGATGCTCTTCCAATCAGGTAAGGTAATCAATACCAGCATGCTTTCGTATAGTTGATCCCTTCTTGTGGAGTGACTTTCAGTCTTAATTTTTATGATCAATCCTAGATATGTTTCATCATTCCTATCAATTTTCCACTCTGCTTGTATCTATTTAGGCATTGCAGATGTTTAAAGAAGGGGCTGAAATTCTAGTCTACCATTCCTTTCGGGACTTATAGGGCAGTACAGACCCAACGCGCGATGGTAATAGTAATAAAAAATAAAAATAAAAAAGTGTTCCTTATGCGTGTTCAGAGTTCAAAATGTGTAGATTAGATTCGTTATGTGTGTATCTCACACCATACCAAATTTAAATCTACACCATGGATTTAAATTCTTGACATTTTTCTGAATATTTTATTTGAGTACATAACATTTCTGATGCCTATTATTGTTGCTTTACACTTAGGTCACGTTACAGAGCAGCCTGTGTATAAAATCTAATTAAAAGTTTCTAATTGGGTTTATTGAACATGTAGCATATATGACAAGGCCTGCATAACGTGACTACTATCTTGGTCGTTTTGTGTGGGGTAAAGTCCACCCCATTTTTAGAACAAGCTAATGATTTTTATTTTGATATGAATTTTGTGAACCAGGTTTGGCTGTGAACATATTGGAATCATACCCTAAACTTGCTGACAAACGTGACGAAAAGGGTATAAAAGCTTTAGATCTGTTGGCCTCAAAACCATTGTCCTTTAGAAGTGGATCATCATATACGCTTAAAAATCTAGGCTCCATGCCTTTCATTCCCTGCCAGATTTTGGCAGTTTTAGTCTATAGTTGTAAGTCCCATACAGTATAAATTATGAACAATAGGATCTCTATTGCTTCCCAGTTTCTTTCTTGCAATTTTATAATAAAACTTAGGTTAAATTACACTTATCACTCTTGAGGTATGGAGAAAATTTAATAGCTCTATTTGGTTTCATTTTCAAAATCTGTTTTTTGAAAATTTCAAATAAATAAAAAATAGTTAAACTAGTTTGGTGAAAAAATGAAAAACACTCATTATTCGTTTTCATCAAACTAGTTTCTATTTTTTATTTTTATTTTTGAAAAAGAAATTCAGAAAACAGACTTTGAAAACCAAACCTAACAAAGTAAGTCTTACAATTTCAAAATAATGATACTATTACTAACCTCCTCTACAATAACAGAAAAGTTAACTGATTACGGAGGATGTAAAATTACACTTTTAGCCTTCTGTGAAAGTTAAGCCTTGTTTGGCATAACTTATTTTAGTCCATCTTTTTATCTTTTTATCTTTTTTGGGTTACATCAATCAACATCTCCTCTCTACTTTTCTACACATCTTTTTATAAAAAGTCAAAAAGTGCACTTATTTAGGACATCTCAAACCACCCCTTAATATCCTCTTAAGTTATGATACATATTTTTTTTGGGTCAGAAAATTATAATGTTGTTCAAGTTTTATTAACATAGTTACGGACTTGGAAAGAATTAAGCAATGAACAAGTGCATTGTCAAATAAATATGGTCTGCATAACTTTAATGAAATCATCAACTGAAAATCCAATCAGATCATAATGAAATGATTTCACCCAGAATTGATCCTTACTGTAACAAAGTCCCATACAGTATGAACTATGAACAATAGGATCTCTATTGCTTCCCAGTTTCTTTCTTGCAATTTTATAATAAAACTTAGGTTAAATTACACTTATCACTCTTGAGGTATGGAGAAAATTTAATAGCTCTATTTGGTTTCATTTTCAAAATCTGTTTTTTGAAAATTTCAAATAAATAAAAAATAGTTAAACTAGTTTGGTGAAAAAATGAAAAACACTCATTATTCGTTTTCATCAAACTAGTTTCTATTTTTTTGAAAAAGAAATTCAGAAAACAGACTTTGAAAACCAAACCTAACAAAGTAAGTCTTACAATTTCAAAATAATGATACTATTACTAACCTCCTCTACAATAACAGAAAAGTTAACTGATTACGGAGGATGTAAAATTACACCTTTAGCCTTCTGTGAAAGTTAAGCCTTGTTTGGCATAACTTATTTTAGTCCATCTTTTTATCTTTTTATCTTTTTTGGGTTACATCAATCAACATCTCCTCTCTACTTTTCTACACATCTTTTTATAAAAAGTCAAAAAGTGCACTTATTTAGGACATCTCAAACCACCCCTTAATATCCTCTTAAGTTATGATACATATTTTTTTTGGGTCAGAAAATTATAATGTTGTTCAAGTTTTATTAACATAGTTACGGACTTGGAAAGAATTAAGCAATGAACAAGTGCATTGTCAAATAAATATGATCTGCATAACTTTAATGAAATCATCAACTGAAAATCCAATCAGATCATAATGAAATGATTTCACCCAGAATTGATCCTTACTGTAACACCTCTTGGCTCACTGTCTTTGAAAATATACATGTGTTCTTATTTATTTTACATGTTGTATATACTTAAATTATTTCTGCTAATGGTGAAACAGAAGTCTAATGGACTACTTCTAAATACTTATGTTCTGAATCTCAGCACTATGATTCTAGAGATGGTTACTTTAGTAACCGGTTCAGAATTTCAAATTGATTACAACAATTATTAAAATTTTGAATTGAAAGAACATCTTTGATGACTTTATTTGTTTTTATTGTTGAGCAGGTATTCCATCCATGGTTATTGATTCGGAAATTGTTGGTGATGTGGAGGACCCGCGTGGTAGTGCACATGATATCTCCAAGTCAGAAGGGGCTTTGTTATCCAAATTAATGTCAGGTATTATTTTATTTTTATGCAGTAAATTTTATAGAGAAAAAAATAATGCAGATGTAATTTTTTTCTGCATATAATTCCCCTCACCCCAAAAAGAAAAATGAAAAAATTATTCTTTTGAGTGTGTATGGTGGATTTGACCCGTGCAAGTTAAGTGTTCAGTAATTGTATTGAATACAATTATCTTTACTCTAAAAGAAATAAAAAGTCAACTTTCCCTTTCATCTTATTGATTATTCTACACTGGTATTTTGTTACAGGGTACAGAAGGATCATCAGAGGTTTGTTGCTCTTACTCTTCAACTATGAGTTGTTCGCAGTTTTTGGAATACAGTTAAATCTGAAATTTTTGGGTGCTTCATAAGTCACTTGTACACACAAGAATTCACGATTCATGTGATTCTCTTTAAAATTAAGGCTGTGGTTCTATTATTACAGGAAAGAGTTACAAACAGAATATAAAGATGGTGTAGTATTAGACTTACGGCCACAAGTGCAAAAATATCAAAATATCTTTACTCCAAAATTCAGATAGTTAGTCTTCAGTACTCAAGAATTACGCTACTCAACAATATGAACCATTGCCAACTTTGCTTTCTGTTATTTCTTCTTTGTCATCAGTCCCAACTGGAAATTGAAGAAAATTCATGAGAAAATTGATAGTATGCCTAGCTTATCACTATACTAAATATGAAGTAATTAATTTTTTTTAATGCTTCTGACTCTTGTTTGTTGTCTTTTTTTTTTTTTTTTTCAATGATTTTTTCAATGAAGTTTTTCCTTGGATTAAACAAATTGATGATGCAAGGCAAAAGCACGTGTTTGCAAGAGAGCTGGCAAAAAGACTGATAGAAGAAGAAAATGGTTGGAGTGATTACCTAAATTGCAAAAATTTTCATGTTTCTGGATTGGGCTGCTTTGGAGAAACTTCGTCACAGAATAAGAAGAATAGAGTGATAGACCCACTTATCCTAGCAACAAAGCACGGCATCCATGAGATGGTAGAGGAAATCCTTGAAAAATTCCCTAATGTTGCAACTACATTTGATGAGAATGGAAGAAATATACTGCACATGGCAGCACAGTTGAAAGATAGAATTCTCTATGACTACTTGAAGAAGACTGTTAATCACGCAGATAGGATGATGGCCGATGTTGATAAACATGGGAACACCATCTTGCATCTTACAGCCTATGAGTGCAAGCAGGGTCATTTTCTCACAACTCATTTTGGACCTGTAAACCGAATGTCGTGGGATGTGTTTTGGTTCAAGGTACATATCAAATCACATGTGTACTTGAGAGTAGTTGGTAAAAAAATTGGTAAGTCAATTCCCTTATAATATTGTCTTCTCACTCGATATTTTTGAATTTCTACAGCGTGTACAGAATGACTCTCATCCACATTTGATATATCATCGAAACATTGAGGGTAAGACGCCAAAAGAACTATTTGAGGAAGAGCACGAGGACATGATAAACAAAGCTGAGAAAGTAGTCAAAGATATTAATAGCTGCTTGATGCTTGTTTCTACTCTAATAGGCACAGTCAATTATGCAGCACTTTTTACTGTCCCTGGTGGTTTCGATCAAGACAAGGGCCTGCCAATTTTTTTCACAAAAGCAAAAAATGGACGAGAGGATCTGCAGTTGTTCATGGTTTATGTAGGAGGAAGTCTGGTTGCTTCTTTATTGGGTTTGGGAACTCAGCTTTCAATACAAGTGTCACGGTTCAATAGCAATGATTTTCACATTTCATTGCCTATGAAATTTCTTTATACAATCACGTCCTTGTTCTATGCTGCAGCCTTCTCAATCACAGCATGCTTCCAAATCTTCATCATCGAGGGTGCCTTCATAAATTCATATTTTGCGGTGATGGTGCTTGCCTGTATATTTATGACCCTTGTTTACACGGACGCATTATACTTGACCTATGATTACTTGTACTACGTAATTCGTTATTCGCTTGCTTATAGAGGCCAGAAAATGTAAGTCTGCAGCTGGATAGGTACTTGTTTTAAGATCATGTTTGTATTTGTGTGCAATTTAAGTGTGACTGTACATGTGAGATGTATTGGAAAAGGACTGTTGAAGGAGAGTTTCTCAAGTATTGCTAAGACATGCTACGAATACAGTTGATTTTGTATTCAAATAACGCACTGCTATAGATCTTGTTGGCATGCTTTAGATGTGGAATGTGTATGGTTCACGAGTTCTAGTTTGTTATAAATGGTAATGGTTTTTATTTATTTTTATTTATATTAATTTTTTAATTGCCGAACCGCCTTTGGCGGGTGGGTTTCATCAGCCACGGACGAACCATGAAACTGTAAATTTGGTGGGTCGTTTGAATTTCTTTGGCAGTTTTGAATCAGAAGATTGAGCGGATTAAGGTGGGTTACAACATCTCTAATGGCTGTCTCCGTACCTCGTTTGGTATTTCCTTTTTGAGTCAGTGGTTGTTGTATTGAATTTTGTGTGTTGTGCAACTAATAAGTGTGTGACTATATTCCATTATATTTATTCAATGTTACATATGTTTCTTGGCACGAATACCTTTTAACTTAGATTAACAAAATTCCGGCACTTTTGTTTATGTAAAGTCAATTAAATAAGGCTTTAGAAACAACATTTATCAACAGTAAAACCCTCCTAGTTTGTTGTTTGGTTGTGTTTTTATTTTCAGTTTTCTATTTTTCAACAATACAGAAAAGGAACAAAAATAAAAAAGGTTTGCCTTCTTCACAACCCAAAAACATTCATACTACTTAGGCATCCTATCACGAACTCAAGAAAGCAGAGTTGAACTGTCCTCGAAGACAAAGCATGGTTCTAATGGATCATCTGCCAATCCTTGGAGAAACCGTGGAATCGGAGGCATAACCACCTCTAAAACTCCCTCTAGAATTTGGACTACCTGTCCCATACTTGGCCTATCCTTCTCATCATCTTGAATGCACCAACAAGCAACTTTGCAAGCTCTAATCACCTCTTCAACATCACCATTGCCTTGCAACCTGTAATCCAACAAACTCATGACTAATTCCTCGCTTTTGTTCATTTTCGTTGCCACTAAAAATGGTACGTACTGATCCATTTCATCATCTACTATGTCACTGTTTCTCCTTCCTGATATAATCTCAAATAACAGCATTCCATAGCTAAAAACATCGGCTTTTGGCATAATTGCTTCACCTGATATCCATTCTGGTGCAAGATAGCCTCGAGTTCCTCTCGTTGTTGTCAAAACCCAACTAATCTCTCTCCCAACAAGCTTAGCAAGCCCGAAATCAGCCACTTTTGTGTTGTATTCAGCATCCAGTAAAATGTTTTGGGCTTAATATCACAATGTATGATGCAATCTCTGCATTTCTCATGGAGGTAAGTCAATCCTCTAGCAGTCCCAACTGAGATGTTGTACCTTGTTTTCAATCTAACACATTAATGTTGTCTTTTTTAAACAAGTGAGACCCTAGAGAACCATTTGACATGTAATCATAAACTAGAAATCTTTTTGTATCTTGTACGCAGAAACCCCGAAGGCGAACAAGGTTGATGTGTTGGATCATCCCAATGGTGCTTACCTCTAATCACCTCTTCAACATCACCACTGCCTTGCAACCTGTAATCCAACAAACTCATGACTAATTCCTCGCTTTTGTTCATTTTCGTTGCCACTAAAAATGGTACGTACTGATCCATTTCATCATCTACTATGTCACTGTTTCTCCTTCCTGATATAATCTCAAATAACAGCATTCCATAGCTAAAAACATCGGCTTTTGGCATAATTGCTTCACCTGATATCCATTCTGGTGCAAGATAGCCTCGAGTTCCTCTCGTTGTTGTCAAAACCCAACTAATCTCTCTCCCAACAAGCTTAGCAAGCCCGAAATCAGCCGCTTTTGTGTTGTATTCAGCATCCAGTAAAATGTTTTGGGCTTAACATCACAATGTATGATGCAATCTCTGCATTTCTCATGGAGGTAAGTCAATCCTCTAGCAGTCCCAACTGAGATGTTGTACCTTGTTTTCCAATCTAACACATTAATGTTGTCTTTTTTAAACAAGTGAGACCCTAGAGAACCATTTGACATGTAATCATAAACTAGAAATCTTTTTGTATCTTGTACGCAGAAACCCCGAAGGCGAACAAGGCTGATGTGTTGGATCATCCCAATGGTGCTTACTTTTGCGCGAAACTGCTTCTCTCCTTGCTTCAAACTTTTTAGCATTTTTACTGCTACTGCGATTGAATTGGGCAGTGTTCCTTTGAAAACTGTACCAAAACCACCTTCACCAAGCTTTTCTGAGAAGTTCTTCGTTGCAATTCGTATGTCACGATACTTGAACACCACCAAAGAATCATCAATTTTCTCCAAAGTACCAGCGGTGTCTCTCGGTCTCTTCCTCCAGAGGACTACCAAGACACTACCAAAGAAACAGAAGAAACCACAAATTGCTCCAAAAACAATCAAAGAAGTGTTTCTCTTCACCTTAGCCTTAGCTTCGGTTCTAACCAGCTGGGATGCTGCTACTCTAACATGAAGATCTCTTCCACTTTTATCATCTGATGAGAGTTGTCGTAGATTGAACAAACCACCTCCCCAAATCAAACACCTATTGTCATAAGCATAAGCACTGCATGAACAATTTCTCAAGCAAGCTAATTCACATTCATCAATGTTTTGAACTGTTATCAACTCTGAATTCACAGGAAAACCAGTGTTTGGCACCACAGAAAATTTGTCATTTCCTCTGTTTTCACACTGTAGAGGAATTTTCCTCACACACCCACCTGAGTGATCCGCCAATTCCCAATCTGCTTGAGTCCTTGGCTCAAATCCTTCAATGCAAGTGCAAATCGGTACATTTTGGTTACAACTACTAAATGCACCACAAAAAGCATAGACTGTGCATTGTTGCGGTGGTTTGATCCAGAATGTACTCCACTGCGGGAAGTCCTTTCCCCAGACAAATTGTTTGAGTTGTCCAGTCACATCGAGCACAAATCTAGTGAGAGTAGTAGGGTCACCGGCATCATATGTGAAATAGCTCTCATTTGTATTGTCAACGTATGTGACATTTTTTATGTAATAGTCCAATTCTATCTCAGGAACAAGGCTAAAAACTTTCCCACTCCATATCCCACTAGTCCAATACAAGTTAGACACATTCCAAAGCTATATATGACTAGAATTTGGCTCCACCTCTAGAGAGAACAGACTTGGTGATGGATTTTCTGAATTTCTCCAAGAAGTAAGAGCTTGTTTTTCATTTTCGAGTTTATTGTATCCAACTTTCCCACCGGGAAGCCACGTGTCAGATGGGTAGTCAAAACTCTGCCATATCACATTAGAGGAATCCAATTTATCTCGAACAATGAAATTTCCATTGTCAAGAAGCATGGCTATGGTTGAGTTAGCCAATTTTGAAATCGAATTTGTCAACTAAATTTGATTCTTGGACTGGTCTAGTAGGACTAAATTTCCGTCTTGTAACAGTTTTAATTGTGACGAAGATAGATTTGAAATGGGTTGGACTCAGTTTGCTACCAAAACTACTGTTATGTTTGGTAGCTTTTTGTACCATATGCCTATGTAGTAGTTTTGAGAGTTACCTGGCGTGAAGAAGCCCAGTTCGAAGACTCCACTTTGAGAGGTTATTGTTTGGTTCCCAGAGAGAAACTGTCCAGCATAGATGGTATTGGTGTCATCTGATCCTTTTGAGAGATGGGTATTGAAGGATAGAATGAGCAAGGGCACAACACAAAGAAAGAGCCATTGAATTTTGAATGTGAGACTCATTTTTTGCATAGGATTGCACCAAAGAATTGGATGTATTAAAACAACAAGCACATATATGTATCTATATATTTAAAAGTTTTGTTCAATACTTGAGTTTCTTCAAATTAAGTTGGTTGGTCATTTTTTGACTTTGGAAGTCAACTGAGTTTGAGGAAGAAGAGAAGAACTAGCATATATAGGCCATAGGAGAAATGATATATGTATTTTGATTTTTTTTATTTTTTTTTTTTTTTTACAATTTTTTTAGAAAATATGAACCATATTCATATTCCTTATAGATGTGTAAATGTGCTCTTCGCTAAGTAATCTTTGGTGAAAAAAGGTCCGACTTCAACACTTTCAAAAGCAAGATGATCATGTGATGATTGTGCGAACATTGTGACACAACAATTAATAATTTAACTTTTTTTTTTATATTATTTCATAGCATAAAATCGAGTTATGATCCTTTTCACAAAATCAATCTTACAAACTTTGACTTGTGAGGAGATTTGTCTTTTTTAAAAGTACTAATAATAATGCTAATTGTCTTAGGCTCCGCTTGATTAGAAAAAAAATAAATTATGAAAAGTGAAAATGATATAAAGTAAAGTGAAAGAAAAGAAAAGAAAAAGAAAAAGAAAATATCTTTTCTCGTATGAATTTGATTGGAATTAAAATTTCGTAAGAAAATAGGAATACTAATTATAAGTAATTACTTTTATGACAAATTTAATTTTTTTTTTAATTTTCTTGTGTTTTTTGCAAGAAACTGGAAGGTTAGTTATCATTCTATTATGAGTTGTATAAGAAAATTAATTTTCTTATAACTTCTATCACTTTCATGCTAAACAAATTTAGAAATTTTTTATTTTTTTCATTTCTTTAACTTTCTACTATTTTTATCCTAACCAAACTGCGCCTTATTGTCAGCCTGCATGACAAGAAAGAATTCAGTATTTGTGGCCATTTTGGATTTTATCATTTTGACTCTGAATACATGCTGTGGAAGATAATTGTTTGCATGTTTATTGATGTTTCATGTCTATTATGTGTTTTATTTGCACAAGTTGGCTACATAGTTGCAACATGTGGGCCCAGTTGTTTAGAATGAAATCATGAAAATGTAAGAGTTCATATACGATATGAGTTCATATAGGATACTTGTATAAATATATATATATATAATTTAGTAATAAAGAAAATGAATAGAAGTTATTTTTGAAATTATGAATATATAAATCAATCTTTCAACGGCAATTTCTTTTTATTTATAATTATCAAACTGTTAAAGGCAATTTTTTTGAGGAAGAAAAAAATTGTGTCAAAAAAAAAAAAATACCACCAATTTGACAATTGATTTTATATGATAAAATAAATGAGTGTACATAGATCGGAGTAGGCAGGTTTCGAAAAAAATTATCAACTCAGCCGTTCCTGATGAGTTGATGAATTTCTCACCTGTCGTTGAACCACACATCTCAAAACTATGTAGATAAATTGAACAATTTGTCGGTTTCAAATTAGCAATTTGAACTGGTGGGTTACGGATAATTAATAAGAAAGTATGGACACGTGCTATTTTAAAAATATCTAATATTTTTTTGTTATAGAGAAGTACTCAAATGCTAGTGCTTTACCTAGGTTAAATTACCCTTTAAAAAATATGACGAGACTGATCAGTTCTACCTTAAGTTGACTCTTGAAAAGAACTTATTTTTTGATTTTTTTTCAAAAATTAAAAAATAAATTTGATAAAACGAAAAACTAAAAGTGTTATTGTAGATTTTCAAAATTTGCTTTCACCCCAGAATAGAGAAAAATCATATGAATATATATGAGTTTTATATTTATATATATATATATATATATTTCACCAAACTAGACTTTGTAAAAAATAAAAAATAAAAAATAAAAAATTGAAATAGATTTGAAAGCACGACTAAACATGCTGTCAAATTGAAATTCTAGAGGACTGTGTTTGGATCTTAGATTTATAGAAAGATTTGTCGATGGATAAGAAAAAGAAAAGATCAAAAAAGAAAAAAAAAAAAGAAGTTCCTCAGTTAATTTGTTGTTTCTTTTTTTTTCTTTTTTTTTCTATTTATAAATTTAAGAAATAAACACAAATTAAAAATGAAATTAGATAGTGAAGATATTAGACTATTCCCCCCTCCTTTAGATATTAGATTATGTTTTCTGATACTGCATTTTTTCCTATAAGGGCATCTTTAATGGTTCACCTTTTTTTATTTTCATCAAATTTGAGTAAAACATTCCTTTGTTATCAAGTGCTTCAATGGAGCTTCATCAAACACCCGGTTGACCTGGCAGATGACCGGGCGGATGTTTGGCCGGTCGATCGACCAGTGTAAATTTTTTACTTGAGGTGGTCATCTAGGAGACATTCGGTAGTGAAAATCCAACGACAATGAATAGTGATTGATGAAAGACACTTCCATCCTCCTCAATTTGATGAAAGATTTGAGAAATTCTGAATTTGATGAACTGTTGAAGCAACAAAAAGTAAATATTTTTATCAAATTTAAATGTTGAATATATGATGTATATAATTGGATAATCTCATGTATTGAATGATATCGATATACGCATATCACAGAATCCTTTTGATTATGTTATTATTGTATTTTCCCTTATTATTTATTATTATTTCTCATGATTCGGATCTTATGAAATCTGGGGTTTGACAAGTAATATATTCTAAAGGACCCAAATTACCGAAACACCTTTAATGGTCAAATTACAATTATGTCCCGAAGGCATAATTGATCTAAATGCTCTTAGGGTACAAAGTACTAACACTACAAGAAAATGCATTTTTGCCGACCATTTTTAGCTACCAAAAACAATTTAGTCGCCAAAAGTCACGGAATTGGCTACCAAAAATAATATTAGTCGGCAAAAGTCAACTTTTTAGCTACTAATTTTTTTTAGTAGGGAAATGTTGATTATTGGCGACTAAAAAAAATTTAGTAGATAAAAATATTACAATTGGCGACTACAAAATTTTTTAGTAGCTAAACATATCACAATTGGCGACTAAAAGAATTTTTGGTCGGCAAAGACCTACTTTTGGCTACTAAATAGTTTGGTAGCCGAATGAAAATAAAAAAAAGGACATAAATAAATGAGTAAATTACACTTTTAGCCCTTGCAGTTCGACTCAAATTTTACTTTAGTATTATTTCAAATTTGAACAATTTGATCTCTACACTTTGAGTCTAGTTTTAATTTGGTCTTTCCGTTCAAGTCGGAAGTTATTGAGACACGTGTCTATCTCCTGATGGGTACATGCAGAAACAATTAATGAAATTTGGACCATATGACCTAAATTGAAATTGAACTTAAAGTGCAGGGACAAAGTGAAACAATAGGGACCAAGTGAAATTTGGATCGAATTATATAGGTGAAAAGCGTAATTTACACTAAATAAATTTGGAGATGTTATGTTTTGGAATATTACTATAGACAACATGTCCAGTGTCATTTATGAATCAAAGTGCACTTTTGCTCTCTTCAATTTGCAAGTTTATGGTGACAGCACCATGTAATCCAAGCATGAAACTATTTTGTTGCAGTTCAATTGGGGATCTTTATGAATATGACAGAAGCTCAAAGCCATCATGGAAGAAGCACATATGGAGAGAAGGAACAACAACAGAAGATACTTCTCTCATGCCATCAAAAGGGTGTGCTTTACATGGCTTTGGTGGATCTCATTTCTGTATCCCTATTTCTTTTGACTAAGGTAATCACCACTTTCCAATCACTTACTAAAAGGGCGACCCAGTTCATGATACTTCTGTTAAAACGGAATCTAGTGAGGGATACATTAAATATTTACACAAGTCCCCTTAAACCTAAGAAAGTTCTTCATATTATATTTGGTCTTTAAAGGTCATGACTTGGAGCGATGGCAAGTGGTATCTATTTCTAGCTTTGTGCACGGTTTGAGTCATGAAAATCAGTCACCCAAAAAAAAATAAATAATAATGGGAAAGATTGTCTACTTATTATCTCTTCTAGACCATGTTGTGTCTGCCTTGTAGCTATTACAAGTGCTACATGTTTCTAGCGTTGTGCATGGTTTGAGTCATGGGGATCAGTCTCTCCACGAAATAAAAATAAAAATTAAAAAAAATAAAGGGAAAGACTGTCTATATACTATCTCTTCTAGACCATGTTGTATTTGCCTTGTGCACTGGTAGAAACTTTTTCTTTTTTTTCTTTTCTTTTTTATTTTTTTCATATCTTTGATGTTTATGTGTTCTCTTGATGAAAATTGGATACTTATAGTGATCATCATATAATATATGCAGGGTGGTAATTTGGTAGAGAGAAGGCTACACCAAAGAAAGTGGAAATGCATAGTCCATGGAAGTCTAGAATATCATCACTTGTCTTCTATCACATCAGTTTCCCAAGATGAATTCAATGAAAAAACCTCCTCTTTGTTTCTCACAACAGCTTCTGGATCTGTTTTGGAATATAGAGTTCGTTGTCAGTGTCGACAAGTACCTTGAAGCGCAGAGCCAGAAGCTCTCTACAGATTGCTACTTGTTGATACTTCATGGATTTTCTTTTATGCTTGCTGACATTTGATGTAGAATTTTGTGTACGAAGGATATCTATTTTGTATGATTATATGTTTGTATGGAATTATTGTTTTGGGTTGGATTATATTTGATTTGTATAGAATTTGATGTTAAAACACCAAATTTTTGTATGGTTGAAACGAAATAGAAATATGTATTATTTTGTTTATATACAGGGTGCAGGTTGCACGAAATAAATACAGGTTGTGAATAAATAAATTATAATAAAAAAAACACTAAATAAAGTTTTTGGCAAGTAAATGTTTAGCAGCCAAAAAAGAAAAAGTGAATTTGTTAGTGACTAACCAATTGGTAGTCAAAAAGGAAATCAATGTTTTTAGCCACTAAATATTTGGTAGCTAGAAAGAATCCAAAGATTTTTGGTGACTAAAAATTTAGTAGTCAAAACTTGTGGATAAATAAATTATAATAAAAAAAAACGCTAAATAAAGTTTTTGGCAAGTAAATGTTTAGCAGCCAAAAAAGAAAAAGTGAATTTGTTAGTGACTAACCAATTGGTAGTCAAAAAGGAAATCAATGTTTTTAGCCACTAAATATTTGGTAGCTAGAAAGAATCCAAAGATTTTTGGTGACTAAAAATTTAGTAGCCAAAACTATATAAGACTTTAGGCGACTAAATAGTTTAGTAGCAAAAAATAAATGAAGACTTTCGGCGACCAAATGGTTAGTAGCAAAAAATAAAATTTAATGAAAAATAATTTTTTTGGCTACTAAATTCTTTAGTCCCTAAATGTAGTAATGTTGGGATTAAAACTTATCTAAGACTAAAATTTTTAGTCGCTAAAAATCAAATTAATTTTATTTGAACACTTTTGGCGACTAAATATTTAGTCGCCAAATATCACCTTTCCCGACTAACCAGACTTTAGTAGCCAAATGTTCAGTTTTGGCGACTAATATTTTAGTCGCCAAAAGATAACCTTTGCCAACTAACTAGACTTTAGTAGCCAAATGTTCAGTTTTGGCGACTAATATTTTAGTCGCCAAAAGATAACCTTTGCTGACTAACCAGACTTTAGTAGCCAAAACATTCACTTTCAGCGACCAAAAATAGTTTAGTCGCCAATACTATCGCCGACAGAGCATAGGCGACGACTTTTGGCGACCAAAAAAATTAGTCGCTAATTTGTTTCGGCGACCAAAAGTAGGGCTTTTGGCGACCAATATTTTGGTCGCCAAAAGTGTCATTTCCTGTAGTGTAAGATGCCATCAAGACCTAAATTACCAAATTTTCTCCCAGGCACAAATTAACAAAATGCCCTTAAGGCATCATTTACCATTTTACTCCAATTAGCCCTAAGTTAATTTCTTATATGATAAATTCAAAAATTTCACTGAATTTACTTTTGTAGAATTCGATGATGAAGAAACCAATTACGAACTATATACATATACACACAATACGATAACTGGCAGTTTAGGAGCTCAAGCAAAGGATAGCAAATATTAAAAAAGAGAAAGACCCACAAAACATATTTCTGATTACTCATTCTTGCACTCACTTAATTAAGCTACAAGCAAAGACAAGATTCGAAGAACATTAAATTACAAGCTTTTATTCTTTACATTGATTTTCTTCAGGAAAAGGAAAAAGAAAAAGTAAAGTTTGGACATTTTTAACATTTCAAGTTGTTCCCTTTTCTAATATTTTCAAACATAGCAAATAAGGAGCATTTGGAAACACATAATTTTGTGTTCTTTCTCTAAGTCCCTCCTCTTGTCTCTCTTACCTAATCTAATTTTAGAGATTTTAACATTTTTTTTTTTGAATAATGAACAGGTCTTCAAACATCAACCAAATTTCATTCACTCTGTTCTCAAACTGAAATGGTGAATTCTACAGAGCGACAGTGTGCTCCGTGGCAATCTCAGAGGCATGGCTTTCATCAATGGCAGCCGACCAAACGGTGCCTGAAAGGCTAGCATGCAACGCAGCAGCTTGTTCTCCGACATCAGAGTCGGATACGAATAAAAATAAACCCCAAAAAAACCCTAAATGTAGAACAAAAATCAAACTCGATATACCTACGGGTTCAATATTGAAAGCCTCTGCATCAAATAAAAAAAAAACCAAAAAAAAAAAACCCCAAATAATCATAGGCAAATCATAAACCATTTAACTCGTTTCCCATAAATGAAACTCATAAATCAAATTGAAACAGGGAAATAGAAGAAGGAAGAGAGACGAAGAGAGAGAGAACGAGAGAAACCTGAATCAAATTGAATGGGTGTCAGACGGTGTACCTCTGCTGGTTCAGGGGCTCTGCGCAACGGTGGCCGATGGTTAGTCGATGAGAGGACATGATCGATGGGCTGTGGATTAGAGGAGATGATCGATGGGCTGTCGATGAGAGGAGATGATCGATGGGCTGTGGACGAGAGTGAGAGCAAGAGGGGTGTTTCCTTTGATAATACACGGTAGTATTTTAATCTTCCTACCAAAATTTTGTTGGTTTTGTAGGACGACTAAAAAAAAATTTCGTCGTTGAATATAAGTTTTTACCGACAAAAGATTTGTCGCCAAAAGTAAATACCAACATTTTATGCGCGAAAATGAGTTTACCGCGACTAAAAAACTTTAGTAGCCAAAAATATAACTAACACCGACTAAAATGTTTGTTAGTCGCTTAATACCTAAGTTTTTAGCGACTAATTTATTTTTTAGTCGCCAATAAGCACTTTACAGTGACTAAAAAAAGTTAGTAGCTAATTTTTGAACCAATCGCGACTAATACCAAGTTTAGTCGCCAAAAGTATGGGTTTTGGTGACTAAATTAATTTTAGTTGCTAAAATTGGTCGCCAAAAATGCGAATTCTTGCAGTGGAAAATGGTCTAAAGAATAATAGATTCATGAATGAATATGTGGAAAATTACCTGGACAGATTGGAAATTCCAATAGGTTTTGGTTTGGATTTCCTATAACTGACGCTATATTTAGATCTGAAATTTGTTGATAAAAAAAAATGAAAAAGAAAAAAATATATATACGAAAGGAAAAAACTTACTTTGTCTACTCAAATTTATTATATTTGTGGCACTGCCCTGGTGAACTATCAATTTGAGCAATTACAACTTTAAACTATTGATATAAATTCATTTTAATTAAGGATTGGACTTCTCTCAAATTTAAAAATGAATTTGATCATCATATTTAGGCTTGTAAAATTTACTAGGAGTCTCGTTTCAATAAATCCAAACTATTCATCTTATAAGATCTTTTATGTATATCATTCATAAAAAAAAAATTAAGTCGATCCAATTATCACAACATTTTCATTTTATTGTATTTCTCCCCAAAAAATGAATGAAAATATGTTTTTAAAATAGATAATTCATTTCTTCCAGACACACAATGAAATGAAAAAATTATAATTATTGGATCGATCTAATTTTTTTCATGGGTTATATATATAAAAAGTCTTATAAAATAAACAGTTCAAATTATCAAAATAGGACCAATGGCGACCCCACTTGTCTGAACATGATGGCCAATTTCATACTTGAATTTCAAAGAAACCCAACCCATTAATCAATCGAGTTGATTTTTTTTTTTTTTTTAACATTATGCATGCCGGTGAATAATGCTATATGTACCAATTAGTATACTAATTAGTGTACTAACGGATAATATGACTTAGTTTCAAAGACTTTGAATTTTTGTTGTTTGTAAAATAGGCGGGATCATAGTATTAAAGTAATAATGCCATAGTATATATTAGTAATATACTAATTGATATATCAATTGGTATATGTAACACACCTCATGCCAGTAGACAAATATTTGTGTATGTGATTTGTTTAATTGGGAAATATCTGAAGAGAGTAGTTTACATTGAAGTTTTAAGTTTTCCAGTGGAGGATTATCTTTAACACAGTTCATAGCACCAGCATGAAAGCAAGAAATCTTCTTCTGGAGAATTATAATTGCAGGGGGACCAATGGAAAATCAATGAGTGGTCTGCATTCCAATTTGGACTCTTGTAGTCAACCTCATCAAGACAAAAGCAAATATCTTATTTGCAAAGCCAAAAATGTAATTTGGATGAATTTGACTTATGAGATCTTATTATTGGAATTTTAAGTAATTTTAACTATCTAATATATCACCAAGATAATTGAGTGTTCGGGTTAATTTGTGTGCACTTTGACTTGCCTAATCTTAGGATTTAAAGTTAATGATCAGACAAATCTCTAGTAATCCCTTAGGATGACTCAAACTTTAAATTTTATTTTTAAATCTTTATTGCTACTTGAATGTTTCAGCAGCACATATTAGAATAATCTCACCAGATATATAGGAGAATGATTCTGACACTTTAGGGAGACTCAAACCTTAAATTTTATTCTCAAATCTTTATTGCTAAGCCACTTAAATATTTCACCAACACACATTGAAGTAATCTTACCAGATGCATAGCAGAATGATGCTAGCACGTTTCATGGACTCTTGATCAATTTGACTTTCGATGTGTTTCTTGGAAGCCCATACAAGTCTGGACCGTTAAAGCCTATCTTGTGAAGTGCACCAGCCTACCATCAAGAAGGAAAAAATAAAAAAATAAAAAAATAGGTGCTTTTATTTTTTTATTTTTTTCTCTTTCATTCTTTCTTTTTCATTATTAACTTTTAAAAAGTGCACAAACAAACCTCTTAACCTACAATACTTATAGTCGTAGACATGCATTGAATAATTAGAGAAATTTTAAGTGCATCAACAACAATTAAAGAACCGGACATAAACTCCAGAGGAACTGTAATGATAATAGTAGTAGCTATTATTTACTTTTAACTCTCTTCAATTTCTTCACAGCATATAGAGAATGACTCTCATCCCCATCTTCTACATCATCCAAAAAACAACGGAAAGACAACAATAAAAGTATTCGAGGAAAACCATGGCGTAGTGAGAAAAGAAACCGAGAAATCAGCCAAAGACATGATGGCTCGATGATGCTTATTACCACTCTCATTGGCACTGTCAACTACGCAGCACTTTCAATTATTCCCGCTGGTTTCGACCAAACTAATGGCCTGTCTTTTTTTTTCTTCACACAAGCAAGCTCCGGAGAGAGTGATCTACGCTTGATCCTGTTGTACGTAGGAGGAAGCCTATACGTATTTGAGTCCGGATCTTCTGTCGTTTTGGACCATTTTTTTTTTTAATTCTTTTTTTTTTCTTCAGCCTTTGTTGTTTATATGTTGCTTCAGCCTTTGTTGTTTGGTATTGAACCCTAGTGAGACGAATAAAGAATAGAGGCGACTACAGCGAGGAGAGGAGAGGCAGCGGTGAGGCGAGGGGAAGCGGCAGCCGACAGCAACAAGGTCCGGATCTCTTCATTCTCATTTTCTCCCTTCGTCCCTTCGTGTTTTTTTACTTTTTTTATATGATTTTGTTGCCAATAGATGCTTCTGATTTATGTTGAGTTTGATGGATTTGTTGTTGAAACAGATTTGGTTTTTTTTTTCTTCACACAAGCAAGCTCCGGAGAGAGTGATCTACGCTTGATCCTGTTGTACGTAGGAGGAAGCCTATACGTATTTGAGTCCGGATCTTCTGTCGTTTTGGACCATTTTTTTTTTTAATTCTTTTTTTTTTCTTCAGCCTTTGTTGTTTATATGTTGCTTCAGCCTTTGTTGTTTGGTGTTGAACCCTAGTGAGACGAATAAAGAATAGAGGCGACTACAACGAGGAGAGGAGAGGCAGCGGTGAGGCGAGGGGAAGCGGCAGCCGACAGCGACAAGGTCCGGATCTCTTCATTCTCATTTTCTCCCTTCGTCCCTTCGTGTTTTTTTACTTTTTTTATATGATTTTGTTGCCAATAGATGCTTCTGATTTATGTTGAGTTTGATGGATTTGTTGTTGAAACAGATTTGGTGTTATTTCTATTCAATTTTTCCCCAATTTTTGTTTGTGTTAATCTGTTGATTTGGTCTTATTCCGAATTTATTCCCAATTTTTGAACACGAACTATGTATATGAACTAGTTCAATTTTTTCCCAATTTTTGAACTACTTAATCTGTTCAATGTTTGTTTTATTCCCAATTTATTGGAATAATGACATTAATCTGGGCCTGAAGGGGGTTCCACAGTATGAAGAAACATTTGTCCAATTTTCCTTAATCTGGGTTCCAGAGAATGATTGTGTTAATCTGGCCTTCCTTAATCTGGGTTCCTTAATCTGGGTTTCACATTACTATTAAAAATGAATTTTTTTTTCCTTTTATTTGAAACTTTTGACACATAATGATTCAGATTTTTTTTCCTTTTATATGGCAACAGAATGATTGAGGAATTCAATTTTTGACACTTTTGGACTGAATTTGGATGGTTGAGTCCTGAATTTGGTCTGTTTGAGTTCTGAAAATGAATGGGAGTCTTGAATTTGGTTTGTTTGAGGACTGAAAATGAATGGTTGAGTCCTGAATTTGGTCTGTTTGAGTTCTGAAAATGAATGGGACTACCCTGTTTGATCTGAATTTGGACTGCCCTGTTTGATTTGAATTGTTTGAACAACAGTGTGCTATAAACAACAGTGTGCTATTTTACAATGCATATGAACAACAATGTGCTATAAACAACAGTGTGTTCATGAATAATGACAATGCATATAAACAACAGTGTGCTATTTTACTGGTTTGAACATGAACTATGTGTATGAACTAGGAATGAACATGAACTATGTATATGAACTAGGAATGAACATGAACATGAAAATGACATTAAGAATGAACATGAACATGAAAATGACAATGTTTATTAGTCAAATGGTTATTGTATCATTGATTAGTGTTTTATTTTACATCTTTGTTTGAATGTTGTCTTAAGTTGTAATGGATTGATTGTATCATAAAATGCTCTTACTAGGATCATGTCAATGGGTTCAAACATTGATGCTGGATATTTGCAAAATAGAAGATGCAATTGTGGAAAAAAAGCTGCAGTGTTCATATCGGAATCAGAGAAAAATCCAGGGAGGCTGTATTTCAAGTGTACAGATAGGATGTGCGAGTACTTTGGGTGGGGAGCGGCTTTGACTGGGAATGCATAAAATATCCAAAGGAAAAGTAAAGCTAGTCATATGAAGAATGAAGATAAGAGAGGCTATGATTATAATGTTAACAAACTCAATGAAATTATAAATAGATTGGAACAAGTTGAGGCAAATCAAGAAGCGATGAAACTGTATATGTTCACAACCATAGTGTTGATTGGTTTTACCATGCTAATAGCACTAATGAAGTGAATGTAACCTTTTAGTTAGTTTTTTTGTTTTTTGTTTTTTTATTTTTTTGGTGGATGTATTTGGGTTTTGAATATTGTAAACCTTAAACTATGAATGTTGATATTTAAAGCTTAATGGAATTACCTATGTTTGACGAATGTGATGCGCTTCTTTTTTGTTTCTGTCAATGACATTACCTGAAATTACCTATGCTTGACGATTTCATTATTTTATAATGTTGTGGACAGATTTGTAACCTTTTAGTTAGTTTTTTAGTTTTTTGTTTTTTTATTTTTTTGGTGGATGTATTTGGGTTTTGAATGTTGTAAACCTTAAACTATGAATGTTGATATTTAAAGCTTAATGGAATTACCTATGTTTGACGAATGTGATGCGCTTCTTTTTTGTTTCTGCCAATGACATTACCTGAAATTACCTATGCTTGACGATTTCATTATTTTATAATGTTGTGGACAGATTTCATTATTTTATATTGTTATTGTTGGTCAGGTCATACTTGTTCTTCACCTGTAAAATCTGTCCAAAAGAAATGAAATCTGTCCACAACATAATCTGTCCAAATCTGTCCTCATTTTATATTTGTTCATTCATTATATTATAAAAGAAATGAAATCTATTGCATAGGTATTGAATTTGTCCACAACATAACACAACCAAAGTTGTCTAAAACATAACCAAATCTGTCCAACACAAATGAAATCTATCCAAATCTGTCCAAAATTCAAGTCTGTGCAGAAAACTGTCCAAAATAAAAGAAATCTATCTAGATTATTCCACATTTATCCACAACATTATAAACCTGTGCAACACAAAATAACAAAACCAAATCTGTCCAACATTCATTAGACCAAATCTGTCCAAAATAAAAGAAATCCGTCTAGATTATTTCTATATCTGTCCACAATATTATAAACCTATGCAACACAAAATAACACAACCAAATCTGTCTAACATTCATGAGACCAAATCTGTCCAAAATAAAAGAAATCTGTCCAGATTGATTATTTCCATATCTGTCCACAACATTATAAACCTGTGCAACACAAAATAACACAACCAAATCTGTCCAACATTCATGAGACCAAATCTGTCCAAAATAAAAGAAATCTATCCATAGGATGTCCATATCATTCCAAATCTGTCCAACATACATAAGACCAAATCTGTTCAACATACATAAGACCAAATCTGTCCAACATACATAACACCAAATCTGTCCAACATACATAAGACCAAATCTATCCAAAATAAAAGAAAACTGTCCAAATCTGTCCAAATCATTATAAATCTGTCCAACATAAAATACATCTGTCCAAAACAAATGAAGATAAAATAAACTTCTCAGGGATGTCCATGTACATGACTGTCAGCAGGACTATGTGGCGTTTGCGAGAGTTGGACTGCAAAGTTTTCAACACTTGTACAGCATTTTGCATCAAATGCCACGTACAAAGACGATAGTTTGTATCGGGCATGACAATTGGAATGTCCTTAGCCATCGCAGCATCTTGATCCATGAAAATAGTTTTCGGAGCTTTGTTTGACATTGCCTCCAAAAAAATTTGAAACAACCATGTAAAAGATTCAGCAGTCTCATCATACATCAATGCTGCACCGAATATAATTGTTTCTCAATGATGATTAAATCCAACAAATGATCCAAAAGGTCTATGCTCGTTATTTAGTTTGTAAGTAGTGTCAAATGTCACTACATCACCAAACAGAGCATAGTCCATGATCATTTGAGCATCAGCCCAAAATATATTACTTATCTGCTCATCACAATCTAATTGAACTGCATAAAAAAAAAAAGATGAATTTTCCACAGTTTTCTTACGAAAGTAATGCAACACACTACCCGCTTTCCCATATTTCAAATCTTTTTGTCTCTTCGATCGTAGGTAATTTTTTTGGTCCAATTTGGTGAAACCAAATGATGCTCTTCCATCAGATTCCCTACCAAATAGTTCATAAACCGACCTAAGAGGAATTCCAGATTGTGAAGCTAATTCTACTTCAATTGCTTGGGTGGTAGATATTTTTCTTTGGGATGGCAACATATGAATGCAATCTTCAGGCACAAGATCATGATTATGATGTTCAACAAAATCACAAGCAATATATTTTCCTGAAATTCTATCCAACTTGATACTAAATCGGGCACCACAACCACATCTTACCTCTTGTCTTGGATTTTTGACAAGTGGATCTCGTTTGTCAATACCCCGACTTCCCTCTTTGTAACATACAAACGTACGTGATGTTATCTCCTTCGTATGTTTGTTCTTGTTTGCATAGGCCTTCCTAATACTAAAACCCAACTTTCCCCCATACGTATTGTAAAAGTCATATGCGGCTTGTTCAGAGTCAAATAGCATTCCCACTTTCGGCTTCCAACCACAATCATCAACAATATTGCTTTCTTCCATTACCTGCAATTCATATATATAAACCATATAATGGAGACAAATTATATGAAATGAAAACTAAATGTATGAATGTTAAAATAGATCAATGTGATTAACTATATATATAGAACATAAAATTTCATATGAAAAAATCTGACTTATATATATATAACATAAACTTTACCTACTTCAGTGACTGACCCCATTTCAGTTAGTGAACCCATTTCATATGAAAAAAATTTGAATTAATTGATTTCAAAAATCTAAATTTGAATTAACAGAAAAAAAATCTGAATTTGAATTAACAGAAAAAAAATCTGAATCAAATATATTAAAATCAAATTTGAATTAAAATGGGTTAATCTGAATCAAATTTGAATCAATTTGAATTAAAATCTGAATCGAATTTGAATTAATCTGAATCAAATACATTAAAATCTAAATTTGAATTAACAGATTACACCTAGGCAACAGATTAAAATCTGAAATGGGTTAATTTGAATTAACAGATTGCACCTAGGCAACAGAGTTAATCAATTCAGATCAAACAGGGCAGTCCCATTCATTTTCAACCATTCATTTTCAGAACTCAAAGACACCAAATTCAGGACTCCTATTCATTTTCAGAACTCAAACAGACAAAATTCAGGACTCAACCATTCATTTTCAGAACTCAAGACTCAACCATTCATTTTCAATCCTCAAAGTTCAGGACTCACATTCCCATTCATTTTCAGTCCTCAAAGTTCAGGACTCCAATTCATTTTCAGAACTCAAACAGGCCAAATTCAGGACACAACAGAGTAAATCTGAAATGGGTTAATTTCAATTAACAGATTACACCTAGGCAACAGATTAAAATCTGAAATGGGTTAATTTGAATTAACAGGATCTTCTGAAACAAATCTATACATATATACATATAATATATATATATATATAACAGCAAGATGATGAAATAGACCTCGTTGTCACCGCAATGTCGCATTCCCGCCATCGCATCGCCGCCGGACTCACCGTCGCCCACGATCATTTGCTCGCTATCGCGCTGCTCCTCCATCTCTGCCATCTCTTTCCTCTCTCACTTCCTCTCTTAGTTCGCATTAGTTCTCTTGCAGTTCCTCACTCTGACTTTTCAGTCGCCTCTCACAATGCCTCTCTCTCTCTGCTAGGGTTCAGTCGCCTCAGGTAGATGGTGCAAAGCGAAGAAGACGATACAGAGAAAGAGAAAATAGGGGAAAGACGATACAGAGAAAGAGAAAATGGAGGAAACAAGGAAATGAATTTTTTGAATTAAAAAAAAATGATCGAAAACGACGTCGTTTTCGACCACGGCAAGAAAGTATGGCAGAAGATCCGGACTCATACGTATTTTACTGGCTTTGGGAACTCAACTTTCGATTCAATTGTTACGATTTGGTAACAGTGAATTTCTCATTTCGTTACCATTGAAGTATCTTATAACTACCACATCATTGTTCTATGCAACAGGCTTGTGTACCAGGGCATATTGCCAAGCATATATTCTTGAGAATGCATTTGTGAAACCATTTTTGGGAGGCTATGTGGATTCCTCGTGTTATTATATGGGCCTTGTTTACATAGACATATTACTTCCAATCTTCAATCACATGTACAATGTTATTCGTTATTCATTCACTAACAGAGGCAAAAAAACGTAGTCTGTCTCTGTACCTAGTTTGGTATTTTTCTTTTGAGTTGGTGGTTGTATTGTACAACTAATAAGTGTGTGACTATATTCCATTATACTAATTCAATGTTATATATGTTTCTTGATACCAATGCCTTTTAACTTAGATTAACAAAATTTCAGCACTTTTGGTCATGTAAACTTAATTAAATAAGGTTTTAGAAACAACATTTATATTTATTTTCAGTTTTTTGTTCATCTTTCAGAAAACACTAGTTTATTGAAATTCAACAATACAAAAAAGGAACACAAAAAAAGGGTTTGCCTTTGTTCACTACCCAAAAATAGTCATACCTAGCACTCTATTATAAACTCAAGAAAGCAGGGTTAAACCGTCCTCCAAGAAAGAGCGTGGTTCTAATGGATCATCTGCCAATCCTTGGAGAAACCGTGGAATTGGAGGCATACCCACCTCTAAAATTCCTTCTAGAATTTGGACTACATGTCCCATACATGGTCTATCCTTCTTATCATCTTGAATGCACCAAGCAGCAACTTTGCAAGCTCTAATCACCTCTTCAACATCACCATTGCCTTCCAATCCAACAAGCTCAAGACTAATTCCTCGCTTTCCTTCATTTTCATTGCCACTAAAAATGGAAAGTACCGATCCATTTCATAATCTACTATGTCATTATTTCTCCTTCCTGATATAATCTCAAATAACAGCATTCCATAGCTAAAAACATCGGCGTTTGGCATGATTGCTTCACCTGATATCCATTCTGGTGCAAGATAGCCTCGTGTTCCTCTCATTGTTGTCAAAACCTGACTAATCTCTCGTTCAACAAGCTTAGCAAGCCCGAAATCAGCCACTTTTGGGTTGTATTCAGCATCCAGTAAAATGTTTTCGAGCTTAATATCACAATGTATGATGCAATCTCTGCATTTCTCATGGAGGTAAGTCAATCCTCTAGCAGTCCCAACTGAGATGTTGTACCTTTTTTTCCAGTATTAATGTTGTCTTTTTTAAACAAGTGAGACTCTAGAGAACTGTGGGAGCCAGATAATGTCGATGCACATTCAAGAAAGCTGAATAACGGTCTGAAGATAGTCAGAATAAATATTGTATACGGCACCGTCCTGGACGATCCCAAAGCCGAATATATTAATCTGCCGTAGAATCAATTGAACAAAGGCCGAATAAATAAATGTGCAATGGGTTAAGTGGGCCCGACCCTGAGGCCCAAAAGAAAAATATAAATAGAGGAATATCAGCCAAAGAGAGGTACGCGAGAATAGACCTAAGAAACTTAATTTACAAGCAACCAAAAGAGTATACACTGACTTATCCGTTGGAGTGCTAATTCCGGCACTCCCGACGGGGCAATAATCGAGCACGCTATCAAACTGGGCTTTAAAGCATCGAACAATGAGGCCGAATACGAAGAACTGTTAACCGGCTTACAGAATGCACTTCTCCTTGGTGCTCGGCATCTGCTTATCTTCTACGACTCAAACTAGTCATCAATCAATTGAAGGGGGAATACGTAATCAAAAATGACCGTATGGCAGCCTACATGAAAATAGCGAGTTCCTTGCTGGCAAAATTCGACCATCATGAATTGAATCAAATAACTTGGGATCAGAACACACATGCAGACGCCCTGGCTTGCCTAGGGCCCGACCCTGAGGCCCAAAAGAAAAATATAAATAGAGGAATATCAGCCAAAGAGAGGTACGCGAGAACAGACCTAAGAAACTTAATTTACAAGCAACCAAAAGAGTATACACTGACTTATCCGTTGGAGTGCTAATTCCGGCACTCCCGACGGGGCAATAATCGAGCACGCTATCAAACTGGGCTTTAAAGCATCGAACAATGAGGCCGAATACGAAGAACTGTTAACCGGCTTACAGAATGCACTTCTCCTTGGTGCTCGGCATCTGCTTATCTTCTACGACTCAAAACTAGTCATCAATCAATTGAAGGGGGAATACGTAGTCAAAAATGACCGTATGGCAGCCTACATGAAAATGGCGAGTTCCTTGCTGACAAAATTCGACCATCATGAATTGAATCAAATAACTTGGGATCAGAACACACATGCAGACGCCCTGGCTTGCCTAGACTCCGCCATCAACTCAGAAATTAAATGGACAATTGAAGTAGGACTCATCCCTAAGCCGAGCATTGGCCCTTCGGAGTCAATCCAGATCAATATCATAGAATCAGGTCCAAGTTGGATGGACCCCATCACTGCATTCCTATCTTCCGAGCAGCTCCCGACGGGCAAGAAAGAAACACACAAACTGCAAAACAAAGCTCTGCGATATTACTTAGATCCGCAAGGAAAGCTTTACAAAAAATCTCTTTCTAGTCCATACCTAGAATGCGTTTATCCAAATAAAGTCGAGGAACTCTTGACTGAAATACATGAAGGTAGTTGTAGTGCCCATTCTGGCGGGCGCTCTTTGGCTCATCGAGTTGTGACACAGGGGTACTATTGGCCGACCATGAGAGCTGATGCCAAATGTTACGTCAAGAAATGTGAACAGTGCTAGAAGTTTTCCCCTTTAACCCATTTGCCTGCTGAAGAGTTAATCTCTATCACCAGTCCTTGGCAGTTCGCTCAATGGGGACTTGATATCATTGGACCATTACCTCGGGCCCCGGGCAACAAGCAATTCTTGATTATCGTGACAGATTACTTCACAAAATGGGTTGAAGCGGAGACACTAACACACATTCAAGATACTGATGTTAAGCATTTTGTATGAAGAAATATCATAACACGATTCGGTATTCCCATTCCAAGAGCACTTATTTCAGACAACGGCACCCAGTTTGATTGCGGCATCCACCGAGAATTGTACAGCACGTATGGTATTCGGCTCTATTTCTCCACCCCGGCTTATCCACAGAGCAATAGTCAAGCTGAAACCTCCAACAAAGCCATTTTAGACGGTATCAAGAAACGGTTGGAGAAAGCTAAAGGCAGGTGGGTCGAAGAGCTCCCTAGTGTGTTGTGGGCTCATCGCACCACACCAAGGGGGTCCACTGGGGAAACACCGTTCGCCCTTTATTTTGGAACCTAGGCAATTATCCCTCTAGAGATTGGCTTACCCACTCTAAAAACAAAGGTCTTTGACTTGGGCCATAATGACATGATGTTAGCTTTGGATCTGACTCTGATCGAAGAACGCCGAGACCGTGCCCTCGTGTCTATGGCACAGTATCAGCAGCAGCTCGCTAAATCATATAATCAACGTGTGCAGCTGCGACATTATATACCCGGAGAATTGGTCCTGAAGAAAGTTCTTCTCGCTACTAGGAGCCCCGCCAAAGGAAAGCTAGGTCCCAATTGGGACGGCCCCTATTAGGTTGAGTCAATCGCCGACACAGGGACATATCAGCTTAAGGACATGTCTAGGAGAAGTCTGCCGCGTCCTTGGAATTCCACGCATTTGCGTAAATTTTATCATTAACCCGACTTGTGGAGCATGATAACTTGTTTTGAATGTTCACCGTGTACAACTTTCACTTTTACATTGCAAGGCTTCTTATTTCCTACTATATGAAATTTAGTTCGGTAAATCCAAAGCCTCCAAATTCGGAGCACCTTTCATGGATATGACGATTGGCTAAGATAAAAGCCTCCGAATTCAGAGCCCCATCCATGAATGACACGTTTGGGCCGAATAAGCCTCCGAATTCGGAGCACCCTTCGTTGATATCACGATTGGCCAAAATAAAAGTCTTCGAATTCGAAGCCCATCCGTGCAAGACACGTTTGGGCCGAATAAGCCTCCGGATTCGGAGTGCCCTTCGTGGATATCACGGTTAGCCAAGATAAAAGCCTCCAAATTTGGAGTCCCATCCGTGAATGACACGTTTGGGCTGAATAAGCCTCCGAATTCGGAGCGCCCTTTGTGAATATCACAATTGGCCAAAATAAAAGTCTCTGAATTCGAAGTCCCATCCGTACAAGTCACGCTTGGGCCAAATAAGCCTCCGAATTCGGAGCACCTTTCATGGATATCACGATTGGCCAAGATAAAAGCCTTTGAATTTAGAGCCCTATCCGTGAATGACACGTTTGGGCCGAATAAGCCTCCGAATTCGGAGCGCCCTTCATGGATATCACGATTAGCCAAAATAAAAGTCTCCGAATTCGAAGTCCCATTCGTGCAAGTCACGCTTGGGCCCAATAAGCCTCCGGATTCGGAGCGCCCTCCGTGGATATCACGATTGGACAAAATAAAAGTCTCCGAATTCGAAGCCTCATCCATGCAAGTCACGCTTGGGCCGAGTAAGCCTCCGGATTTGGAGCGCCCTTCGCGAATATCACAATTGGCCAAGATAAAAGCCTCCGAATTCGGAGCCCCATCCATGAATGGCACGTTTGGGCCGAATA